TTAATGTAATTCTTTTTTTGTAAATGTAAGTACTTTTTTGTTGTATTTGTTTAATTTTATAGATCTAATTACTTTTTGGTTCAAAAAATGTTTAGAGACTTAATCGTTCAATATATGAACGCTCATTGAGGTTTTTTTCGGACTTTTTCTATTATTTTACCACATTAACCAGTTGTATAGGTCATAAGAATGTATCTAACAGATTTTAGAAAGTACAATGAGTTATTTAACATGTTTTGAAATGTCCAAGGTTTTTTTTGTTCCAAAAAATTGTCCAATGACTTAATCATTCCAAACACTAAAATCCATTAGGTTTTTTAGATTTTTTTCCTTTAAAATACAAATAAAGTTGTAACCACCCCTCTGATTACATCTCTTAGATCGATTAATTTAACATTTTTGATAAGTTTTTTTTTTCTTTTTTGATGTTCTCTCTTGGACCTCGGGACCTCCCTCATATCTATCTATAAAAGGGTTACGATATGTTTAAGATAAATTTGGTAACTGGTTTGCGAAAGTCGAAGGTTTATAACGTATTTTACAAAAAGGTTTGTTTATGAAATATTTCTAAACGCGTTATTGATAGAAGTTGGTTTACAAACGGTTTCATGAAAAGTTCGTGCTAAAATTTGTTTACGAAAGGTTTATACAAGGGATACAACAAAGGAGACAATAAACTTGACATTTGCATCATCTGTCATCAAATATTACAAGATCAATATGTTACTTGTCAAATTATATAGAAAATAGGGAAAAAAAATTAAGGTTTGTTACATCGAATGAGAAAAAAATCATTGTTGCACTAAATAAAAGTTAAACCGAATGTTGTTGTATTTCAATACATCTTGCTCTTTATCTTTAATCAATCTTTAGGAAAACTGAAACTCGTTATCGAGAATCTATACGTTGATCTGTATTCAATATCCCTTTTCATTTGCAAGCTAATGGTACTTCTAATATCCTAATTCTACCCCAACTCACTTTCTCAATTGCATTGTCAACGACTTCACAACCATGACGTACGAGCCAAAAGTGAAGAGATCGTAAATAGAAAGAACCGCTCCTCCTCTATAATCATTGAAAACCGTCAAAGGCAAAAAATACACGGATAAATCGAAGAAGTCTTATGTCTCGAGTTTACTCTGATTGGTAAGATGATGAGGATTCTTGGCATATAAATGATTAGTACAATCTTGTATTACAATTTTTCTTTTAAATTCATAGCTTTAGATCCAAGTTATGATGAATCCCTCACTCCGTTTGAGGATTTCATTATATACACAGCAAATTA